GAAGGAATGTAAGAGGTAATCTAGCTCAACCCTCACCTTTTACAGATGAGGAAACTGAGGCCTCAAAATCTAAAGTAATTTAACCAAGGTCACAAATAGTAAAAGAGCAGGAATTTAAACCCTCTGTACTCATTTCAAATTCAGCCCTCTCTCCATTGCGCCTTGAATTCTTTGAGTGTTTCTGAGACTTTCAAAGATTAATTCTTTTGAACCACCAATTGTTTTTCCAAGTAGGAATATGCTAAATTCATTTGGTTTGACGTAATTTGGATGTGGAGTCAGAGGTCCTGAGTTCCAATTCCAGATCTGCCATTTATTGTGTGACCTCATGCAAGTTACTTTACCCTGTGGGCCTTCTTTAGTTTCTTCGTTCATAAAATAAGGGAGTTGGATAAAAATGATGTCTACGTTTCCTTCCTGCTTTAGATCTTATGATACTATGTATTATTCTCTCGGTATTTAAGCCCTAGAAGTGTTTATAAGTAAGCCTGTGCCCATAAGTGTATAAATTGCTGCTATGTCTATATAATCCTGCATTCTATTATTCCCAGTCTCAATTATATCATTCACTCTTACACAGTGCTGAGACGCTACGGCAGGAACTAGAGAGAGAAAAAATGATGAAAAGACTGTTGATGACTGAACTATGAGATTCATTCACCCTTTGTCCAGTGGAGAATGGAGTGGTGCCTTCTGTCAGTCCACATTCTTCAGCTTCTGTGTGCATCCAGCATAATGCCCCATGACAGTGTTGTACGTTGAACTCTGCTGAATTCTCCACCATTGGCTGAAATTAATCTTCGGTTTGGCTTGACTTTGAAAGAATCTCTTTACTCCTGTGTTGCTGAGGAATACATATTGCATTCTTTTTTTTCTTCTTCTGAGAATTTGGATTTTCTACTGCAAAATACAGCTGAGACTAGATTTGGTAAGTCTAGGGAAAGGAAATCGAAAACCAGGGAAAAAAAAAACCAAACTACTGATTTCTTTTCAGAAATCCTTCTGTACATATGTTAATAGCTGCCAGAATTAATGTTGTGCAGAATCCTTTGATATTGACAGAGAAAAATCTGATTTTGTATAACTGAAAATTTGCCCAGAGCTACTGCCGTTTGTTAAAGAATCCTTTTTATGGATATGCACCTTGAATATTAATAAAGGTTGCACTATGAACAAATTAGATAAGATCCAGATAAGCTATCTTTCACAGCTATAACTGGGGAGAGTTCTTAGCCAAACAAGAGAAAGAGGTTACAAAAATTTTACAAAAAGAATCACTTTTAATAAGGAAAACTATTTCTCCATCTTTCGCCCTGATTTTTTTCATTTACACACACAGAAAATAAATGGATCTTGTAAAGTTCTTCACATCAGTCATTATCTAGACACATGTACATGAAATAAAAAGAAGACATATGTGCATAGCATGCCTACAAACACTTCATTTTAAAAATTTCTCTTGTAGCTTAGGTGGAAATAAACTGAGAAGAATAAATTGTTTGCCATGGATAAAAATTTAATCATTGTACCCTCAAATGTAGAATCACATTTAAAAAGACCCTATAATTTGGAGATAATGCATTATTAGAAAGGACTGCTTAGATTTTCTATAAAAGAAAATTATTTATAAAACACTTTGTGTTGTGCCAGAATCTTGGACCAATGTAACTTTCTCTTAAGAACTGTTATAGCACTTAGGGATCACCTGGTCCACCTACCCTTAATTTTTAGGTTACATAACCGAGACCCTGAAAAGATAAGTGACTTAATGTCTTGCAAGGTCACATAGCTAGTAAACAGCAGAGCTGAGATTTGAACTCCTGTCCTCTGTCTCTAAATCTTTCTACTAAGCTGCACTGCCCCTTAATTTTAGGTACTGTATGTTTATGTCACATATGATAAGTTCTCTCTCTCTTTTTTCCAATTCTTAAAGATAATGGTGCCAATTTGATACTAATGATACATATGCAGTCACATGTCATTTATCAGGAAGCTGTGGGAAATGAATCAATATTGAGTTAGTGACTATTCCAAATAAATGAAGCTCAACCCTTTAAATGAGGAAATGTTCAAATTTTAATACTTTTTTATGGAATTCTTTCTAAAGTGTATTAAACTCTTCTCTGCCTTAGAAAACAGAGAAAACTGAACATAATTTAATCTTTTTTTAGTGACTTAATGACTCCGGATCATCATTAAAAACATCAGTTATTGTACTGTGATGTACTAAAGTGATGTCCTCAGGGACTTTTTGATGTGTGCAAAGCTTAGTTTTGCCTTTCCCTGAATTCCCAAAGACTTCAATGCTCTTCTAATGGATTGTTCAGCTGTCTCTTGACTCATTAATGTCATTAAGTAATGTTGAGATGTTGAGAGTTTTTTGTTTGTTTTTTTTTTTGCCTATACCTGAACAGGAATGCCATGCTATGCTGCTCCAGACAGCTCTAGGTGCTATATAGTATATGATATACAAAATGTGCTCTTTTATAATGTGGGGAGATGTGTCTCTGTTGGGCACTAGCTGTAAGTATAACTTCCCCTCATGGCTGCCTCAGTTCTCCATTCTCAATTATTTTCACTGTGAATAGGTTTGCTTCTCCTATACCTTTCCCTACTTCTAATCAGCTGTCCAGAGTTTCTGTGGCTCACCACTAGGCTCTGTAATAAAAATCTTTTAGGTAGAACTGAAGTCTGCCAGGGGAAAACAGATAAACAAGTATTGCATGTAAATTTGCAAGAATTGCAGACAAATATGCTCTGTTCCTGAGAAGGGAGTGAGTAGAGCAAAGTGCATGGGCTTTGAATATATTACACTCTGAGGTTTCGTTTTTTCATATATTTCCCACTTATTTCTGGGTTAAAAGCTATTCCAGAAGAGCGTGTTTGCTGGAAGTCTGACTACCAGATAAGTGGGATGCTGCTGTATATCTAACCAGTGTAGGAGATTATCAATAGAGAGGGAAAGTGTTGGGATTACATCTGCCACAGAGGTAGCTCTGGTTATGTAAATATAATAGATTTTTAGCACATTTTTGTATTTTTCCCATCGCAATTGAAGAAACAAGATTATTTGTGTCTACAGTATTTAGTGACAAGTACTAAGTGACTGAACATTGTTGGGGATTTTTTATTTGTTTTTGTTGTTTAATCTAGTAACTTCTTAATTTCATGGAATCACAGGATCTCAGAGTTGGAAGAGAACTCAGAGATCATCTTGTACCAACCTGTAACTGAACAGGAATTTCCTCTACAACCTCATTGACAAGTGGTCATCTAGACTCTGCTTGAAGAATTCCAATAATGAGGAATTCACTGCTCACAAAACAGCCCATTCCACTTTTGGACAACTGTGGTTAGGAAGTTGTTCTTTATATCAAGCTGAACCAGTTTAATGCTTCTTCCATCTGACACATCGGTTCTTCAGATACTCTAACAACAGCTATCCTGACCCCCTCAGAAGTCTTCTCTGCTCCAGCTTAATTATCCTGCGTTCCTTCAACTGATTTTCATGTAGCATGATTTCCAGTCCACTTGCTATCAACATAATTGAAAACAAAGTGCTGAAAAGAACAAAACAAAACTGAAACTAGGCACCATTGCAAAGAAGAAATGCTTGTTTTATTGAATAAAAGGTTACACAACATAAACTTTATATCAAAAGAATCTTGGCCAGCTTTCTGGTCAACTTGTTCTAAAACATTCAATGGCCACCACTGCTTGACCAGGCTAGTCCCTGCATTCCCTGTTCCCATGATGACATAGCATGTCTTATATGTCATTTTGGTACCTCTCTTACTTCATCGCTGAGACTTTTTAAAAAATTACATTTTTGTCTTAAGAAATCAAAACAAATGAACACTGCCAGTTCAAAACTGTTCTCAACAATATTATCAAACAAAGTATGACCACACTTGATGAAAATAGCCATCATCAAAGTGGCAACATTGATTTGATATCTAAGAGTCTGTAGTATAAAGTTATTTTTTAGAACCAGCTTTGGGATTTCTAGTCAAGATTGTAAAGTGAAAGGTTCCTTGTATGCCCCACCCTCCCCCCCCCACTCCCCAAAAAAAACCCCAAACAAATCTGGAAGAGAAGACAAATGACTTTAAAATAACACAAGAAAATAAAAAATCAACCAAAACCCAAAATGAACTAAGTACAGTGCCAAAATAATAAAAATTATATTTGCTGAAGAAATACTCCCAATGGAAAAAAAGCATACAATAGTGAGAAATAGGTCTCAAATGGAGAAATGACATATTCAAAGAAATTAAGGAACAATTAGCACACTGGTAAGAATACCACAAAGCCAAATCAAAGAATTATAGAAAGTACAATCACATACACAAGCTAGAATTAAAATATGCTAAAAAATGTAAAAAGTTAGGGAATAATGAAAAAATGACCAATATGGAGACTTGTGATTTCATCAATTTGCTCCCAATGGTACAAAAAACAAGAAACCCATGCCTTCTTTTTCTGTGCAATTCTTGTTCATGTTCTCCCATAAACCCTCCACAGAGAATCCATCCAATATGCTAAAGATGTGTAGGGTTTATTATATTTGATAGATATCAGTGCAGCATCAAGTCTGTCCATTCATCCATCCCTGCCCCTTGCCAGATGCATGTGGTAGATCAGTGGGAATAGGATGCAACCTACCGTACCCACTATCCATCCCTCCATAGTCTTTTGGGTTACATGTAACTATGATTCCTTAGAGGCTGTTGTGTTCCAAGAGTCACAATGGCATAACATCACTGGGGGAACATTTGTGTTAAGAAGATGGGGTTTTGTGTTTGGAAGCAACTTGAGGTCATGAAAAATATTGCAAAATTTCCCAAGTTTAATCCAACCCACTCTCTTTTCCCAACCGTGTAGGCCCGACTCATTGTCTATCCATAGTGCCTATTTCAGATATATGTACTAATGGACTGGTTCAATGGACTGGCCATCTAACTGCGTGTCTTTATGGGTTTTTATGCTTCTTTATTTTGAGTGATTGTTGATCTAATCAAGAAGGTACTGTAATGTTCTTGGGGTTGATGAAACCACTAAGATAATTCTCTTCTATGACTTTTTGCTTGTTAATATGAAGTGAGGCATAAAACAGGAAGAATAGTAAAGGTGTTCACAATTATAATGGAGGATATCCTGAGCACAGAAGAGATTCCTACAGTGGGAAAGTTCCTTTAGGCGCTGCTATTTGTGGATGATATTGTGCTGAATATGATGGATGATTTCAAGAAATTTATAGAAAACAATCAAGAAAAGACTTTACTACAATGGAAAATAAAATTTCATGCAGTAAAGAGCAATTGAAAATACAGATTCTAAATGAACTGAATCATCCAAATTATTGGGAAAATAAGATGCAAATTTAAATGGTAGACCTGGAAGATCTAGCACAACACAGCAATCTTAGGGGCACTGATATCTAAGAATTTTTTTTAAAATTGGAATACCATATTCTAGCAAATCATAGAATTCATAGACTTATAGCTGGCATGCACTTCAACTATTTTCTAGCTAAACTTTCCCAATTTATAAATGAGAGAACTGAGGCCCAGAGCTTGAGGCTAAGTTGCTTGTCAAAGGTCACACAGGTAGTAATCAACAGAGCAAGTTTTAAAACACAAGTTCTCTGACTTTAAAATCTTTCTGTACTGCCTGATCAAAGAATAATTCCCATAATTGTCAAACAAATGGCAGAATACAAATTTCAAGAATTCATAGAACTCCAACTTGGAAGAACTCAATATTTAACATGCCTAGACACATCATGGTCAATAGTAAAATTACAGGGGAGGGAAGAGGGAAAAGGGAATTCCAAGCTTAGAGAGAAAGTGCGCAAACCTCTTACCAAAGAACAGTAATTAAGAGCAGAGCAGAATTTTCAAGGATGATAAGAAATGATTAGAAAATTTGACTATGACACATGACAAAAGTAAGGAAGATGGGCTATAACTGAGAATTATATCCCCAGTAAAACTGAAAATGCTCTGTGAAGGCCAGAGATGAGTATCTGAAAAAACAAGACACTTTTGAAAATCTACAGAGTAAGAAAGCCTTCAAAGAATAGATAAGCCTAGAAACTGAAACAATAAGTACTTAAAAGAAGTCACACTTTTCAAATCAAGATCAATCAGTTGCTAATCAAATGCAAGAACCCTCAAAGTATCACATTGGCTAAATTCCTAAATGTTGACAGATTCAGGAAAACTGAAAAAAAAAAAAGGAGTAACCTAGAGGGGGAACAAGGAAGAAGACAGGGTAATCCCAGAGTGAACTATCACTGATAAAATGGAAGTCCAAGTTAAAGAAATCTACAATATTATTAAGATGAACAAAAACTTTCATTCTGAGTACAGTTGTTAAATTTTGAGATAACAGATAAAATATAAATAAGAAAGTGTATATTCTCTTCCAATAGAATTACTGAAAAAGAGAAAACCTGACAATTATATTCTAACACTTAATATAAATGGATAAAATCCTTCAATAAGAAAAGAGGAAGTCCTTGAATAGGTAAAAAAAAAAATCCATGTGGAAACATTTAATCCAGAAATACTTAGATGATTCAAAATGAAAAAACAAAATGGCCCCAAATTTACCATTTATCACAAAATCAGACAGGGTTGGATCTGAATCAGAAAGCATTAAAGAAGATAAACAAGGATATTGTATTATGCTAAAAGGTCTTTTTAAAAAAGAGAGTATTTACGTTTGACATATGTGTGCACCTAATCATTCTGCAGTAAAACTGATAAAGGAAAATCTTACAGTCTTACAAGAAGAATGAAATCTCTCAATAATAGTGGGAAATGGTTAATGCCCTTCCCACTGGAACATTTTAATGCATTGTAGACAGGCCTCTAGACATTTTGGAATTGCAATATGAAAATATGCAATGAATCACAAGCATTTTCAACCTATTATGTTTCTAGGATTTTGTCCTGAAAGTATCATAAAAGGGGAAAAAGACAATATGTATAAAAATATTCCTAGCTGCCCTATTGGCAATGACAGTGAATTGGAAACAATTAAAATGTGTAGTGATTGGGAAATGATTGAATTTATTTCGGGGTATTGACATAATGGAATAGCATGGTGCCATTAAAAACCGAATGTGAGACGTATGGAAAAATATCAAATAGTGGGAGGTGCTCAGCAAAGCCAGAACTATAGGCCAATGGACAACTTAATTAGAAAGAAAGATCACAAAGTCAATAGTAGTGTAATTTCAGATGGACTTGAAAAGGGGACATAGAGCACAAGTATTTTTGTTTGCTTCTTGTTTGTTGATTTCCTTGTATCTCTGTTGTTAAAATGCTAAGGGTTTTATGTAAGGTTTTACTTCTTGTTTGTATGTTTATTTGATTATTTGTTTTTTGTTAATGGTTATTAAATTTTTAATTAAAAAAAGAACCCACTTTGAAGAGGAAAAAAAGAAACTGTATTTTCAGAAACTGGAAGATTAAAAATATGAGTCACTAACACTGCTGCTTCTGAATGTCAGCTTGCTTTCATTCTGCCAATGTGCTGCCAGTGTTGGGGGGAATGGCTTCAAAGAACAGGCAGCTGGTCATTTCTAATTAGTAATACCCATACTAATTAGCTAATTAGTATGAGGAAGGCATGGAAAAAAACAAGGTTTCTGAATGTCATGATGGGGCAGTAAATTCAGACGGGAATACTCGAGAATACTCAGAAAGGGCCTGGAACACCTATCATATCTGGTTGAGTTGAGATCCGGTAAATTAGTTATCCAGTAATTTAGTTATGCTAGGTAATTTATTCATATAACCACCTGGTGGCGCTAGTCAGTCACCAGTCCTGGAGCCAGAGGCTTTATCTGCACATGCTCAGGGAACCTTTCCACGAGCAAAGGTTCCCAGCAACTCAAGTCTTCCTTCCTTCGTAGAGACGCCCGGGGTTGTTGTAAGACTCACATAAAACACTTTGCAAACCTTAAGGCATCAGTTATTATTATTAGCTTGCAGTCACCATGTCGCTAATATGGTGATGACTTTATTATTTTACTGCATTCCTGCTGAGCTATGTTTATAAAGCAGTAATATAAAGGTATGCTGGTAAATGTTTAACAACCTGCCTTTCCAGGGGAGAAAAAGAGTATGCACACACACTTTTATGTTTAATCTGCATTGCTAACACTTTCTTAAATCTGGAGAACTGATAAAATAATAAATCAAGCCCTGATTCGTAGTAATTGCTGATTTTTGAGATATAAATGCTTACATGGAGAATTTAACAATCAGCTCTTGCAAACCTATTAGATCTGGTTCCAGCACACCCCTGGGCATGGCTTTCTTTTTGATCCCAATGATAAAATGGCTGTCCCCTCCAAGCTTGTTCATGCCTACGGCTTTTATAGACATAGATTTTACTAGGATTACCTAGGTTTAACACCAGTCTTCTTACATTTTCCTAATTGTCCAAATACCAGTCCAACTTCAGCTTGAACAAATCGTCTCTTTGGAAATTGCTCCTCCCTATCTTATCTCTAGATCTAAGTGCTAAGTACATAAAATAAAACTAAAGCTCTGGTTTATGTGGGCCAATATTTTTAGTCACATATTAAAAACTTAAGAACAAAAGTATGAGAAAGTCTAACACTGCCCAAGCCCAAAGGAAAGCAGGGAGTCTAAAGTGAATAGACAAGCCATAATTTATCAGGCTTTCTCCCTGGAGACAGGGGAAAGGAGGTCAGGTAGAGTGGGTCTCTGTCTCAACCTGCAGGATCAACAGAACCCATTTCACCCAGGATGAAGTTTGTGTGTGATCTGTCCTCACTATGCTGGCTGGACCTCCACGGCCCCACACACTTGTCTGGTACTGGGTGAAGGCTTCACTCACCTCCTCCAGCCTGCCTTCCTCATTCTTCTACTTAAAATTGTTTCTGTTTTGGCCAGAAACCCCGAGGCTCTTCCCTTCCCAGATTGATTTTTTTTTGACAATGTAAAAGTGGTCATTCTCTGCCTCATTTCTTACCTCCCCTTAATCACCGATTGGGCATTGCCTCAGTCAAACTGAGACCTGTTAAAGACCTTAGCTTGAAAAGGCCAACGTCTTCCACTGCGTTGAGGCCCATCTCCAGTCGTCCTGATCTATATCTGGCCACTGGAGTCAGATGGCTCCAAAGGAGAAAGTGAGGCTGGTGACTTTGCACAGCCCTGCCTCACTTAAATCCAATTCACCTGCATGTCATGGCATCACCTCCCTGATGTCATGGTCCTCTTTGAGAACAAAGAACAGTCAGCTGCAGCAGTAAGCTCCCTTAGACAAGGGGAAGAGGAGATGGAGGTGAATTTGGGAAGCTGGGGAACTTCCTTGGCAATCTACACCTCTTTTGATTTCACAAATGGCCACCAATTCTGACTATCACAGAAAAGAAGAATTTCAAAGAATTTTGAAGACCGGTCCTTTAAACAATGCTCCAGTTAATATTTCTTCCTTGTTTCAAACTCCTCCTCGGTCAATGCTGCTGTTTGTGGGGAGGAGGGAGACTGTGGGTGAATAAACTCCAAGCCTCATCTTAGTCCATGGTTTCAATCTCCTTCCGCACTGACCCATTTGTCAGAGCTGTTAAACAGGAGAAAAATTGTCTGACATCTCCTTTCATTTCTTCTGCCCACCTTTGTAGTAGAAATACCACTAGCAGTAACCAAAAAGCAAATGGACAGAAGGAAGAACCTGAATTCACAAACTGCATAATCAAATAAGGAATTAACCATAACTTGGGGCTTTCTTTTTCTTCTTCTAATGATGGATAAAGACAACGATGATGATGATGATGATGATGATGATGATGATGATGATGATGATGACGATGATGACAATAACATAAAACTCCTAACATGTTACATGCTAGTTCTCTTTATCTCCATTCAGGTTGTACCTTTAAATTGACAGGTAAAAGGCATGTCGTTTGGGATCAATAATCAGAATGTCTATCTTGAGAATTAAGTACTTATGATATTCATTTTCCCTTTCATTTGTTCAGTCAAGTTCAACTCTTTGTGACCCCATTTGAGGTTTTCTTGGCAAAGAAACCAGAGTGGTTTGCCATTTTCTTCTCCAACTCATTTTACAGATGAAGAAACTGAGGCAAACAGGGTTAAGTGACTTGCCCAGGGTCACCCAGCTAGTAAGTGTCTGAGGTCAGATATGAACTCAGAAAGATGAGTCTTCCTGACTGCAGGCTCGGTACTCTATCCATTGTGCCACCTAGCTATGCTACGACATATTTATTTACATTGGCATAAATTGGTTTAGTGCTGGATTTGGAGCCAGAGAATCTAGGTTCCAGAGCTGGCTCTGTTATTTACTGCCTGTGTGATGTTGGTCAAGTTACAACATCCCTGAGTCTCATTTTCCTCATCAGTAAAAATAAATTGGGCTCAGGGCTGAGCCCACTAGACCCTTTTTGTATATAAGGCCTGGGAGCTAAGAATGGCTTATCCATTTTTAAATATAATAAAACTTTATTTTAAAATGTAAAAATCATTCTTAGCTCATGGGTCAGTACAAAAATAAGTGGCAGGACCGATACAGTCCCTGGCTAGCCATAATCTGCTGACCCCTGGATCAGATATATTATCACTGAAGTCCCTTCCAGCACTAAATTTTTGGCCCTACCAACAACTATTTCACATGATAAAGCACTTTACAGTCAAGAAAATTCACCATCTGGCGACTTTAGACAACATACAACACAGTCTGTCATCGGGCCCATAATTGAAGCCTCTCTGGCTAGGCGCAATGTGCCAGACTGGGATCTAGCGACATGTTCTAAGAAGCCTGAGTCTAGTCCTCTACACCATGATAAAGCATCAAAGCCAGACTTTACTGGGGCTTCAGAAAGACTTCAGGTATGGTCCTGGGGTCAGACAATGTCTGTAGTGTGAGGACCAGCCAACCTCAATATAGAGTAATAAGTTCATCTGCAAAAGGTCAGACACTTTGATGACTATGGGAACAACAAGGAATTGTAGATACACTCAATTCACAAATAAAGGGAATGAAAAACTAGCATTTCCGAAGTTACATCATGCAACAGAAAAGGCAATCTTGTCACAGTGGTTTATCACCCTTTGTGCTTTGGGAAAATGTTGGAAATGGATAATAAGCTAGCTAGGCCTAAATAGGGCAGCTAGGTGGTACAATGGATGGAGCACTGGGCCTGCAGGCGGGAAGGTTCATCTTGTGAGTTCAAATCTAGCCTCAGACATTTTCTAGCTGTGTGACCCTGAGCAAGTCACTCAACTCTGTCTCAATTTCCTCATCTATAAAATGAGCTGGAGAAGGAAATGGAAATGGAAAGGATACCACTCCAATATCTCTGCCAAGAAAACCCCAAATGAAGTCATAAAGAGTCAGACCTCGATCAGGCCTATTGTATAGATCAGGAAATTATGTGATTTTTCTAATTCTAAACTGTAATCAGATGGAAAAAGTCAGCTGAATGAAATCACCAGTTTTCTCCAAGTTATCCTTTAGTTTGGAATCATGGTACAATGCTTTCAGAAGAATTAAAATGACAAGTAACTCAAAGAACAATAAATAGATGGATGGTACATGTAGGTAGTTTGTGGCATACTATCAATGATGCTGCCTATGCAAATAGTAAAATGTAAGCTACAAAATCATGTAGACTCAGAATGTCAAGGGATCTCGGAAGTCATCTAATCCGATTCACATCTAAATACAAGTTCTCTCTACAACATCTAGTCTCCACTTGAAGATGATGTGACAAGTTTCCTGTGACTGGAAACTTACTATCCCCTGAAACTGGCCATTTCATTTTTGGAGAGCCCTAATTGTTAGGTTTTTTTTTTTCTTACATCAATCAAGCCATAAGCATTTAGTAAAGTGCCTATTATGCTGGGCACTGTGCTAGACACTGGGGAAAGAGGGATAAAATTTAAAAGTCACTGTCCTAAAGGAGCTTACATTCCGTTGAGGAATACATAAATATAACACTTGTTTCAAAAGTCTCTCCTACAGAAATTATAGTTACTATTACTGTAGCTTTAAGAGCCAAATGGGATGTTATGAAAATGGCAGTTTAAACTGCCAGTTTTCAGTTATAACTGGAGAGAAATTTGTGAAGACAGAGAAAAAGGAGAGGTCCCTTTTTTCTTTATGGAAATGTTTTAACTTCTATCTTGCAAAGAATAGGAAGAGAATTTTTGAGGAGATTTTGCTGCATACCTTCAATGAACTAAACTGTGTAAAACTGTATTCTTGGAAGTGAAGTCATCTGCTATTACTGGAGGTTTGAGATAACTTGGGCAGTTATTGTCACAGCTAAAATATTATAGATAATTATATCTTATTGATTTCATTATTAATAAATTGTACATTCAGTCACTTTAATATTTATTTTATCCTGAGATTAAGGGATGTAATGTAGAGATATGAGTAATTACTATTAGGCAAAAGTAATTGTATAAGTAATTACCATAATTACTTAA